GACAGCTGAACAGACACTTTGCAGCTAATTAAGATAAGACAAGGATAGAGTCTCTTGGACATCTCTTGCAGATTTGAGAGCAGCAATTCTTCACAGAGCGCCATATACATGTAGTAATTACTTATTATTAATGACGTTTTATTATAAACATGTGGCAGTATTATTACGTCATACATGTAAGTGTGATGATGTAGCAAGCATCATAATAATACTGCTCTTAAACCTTGAGAAGAAGTCCAAGGGCATTAGAGGTTCCTTTCTTTCTTTATTTTGTCCTTTTCTTCCTCTTTTGTTTTAAACAGATATCTTCAGTCATATGACTGCTTGTCCTACATTATACATGGTTTGAGCAATCTTATTTGGATGCCAAGTTCTCTGGCATGAAGCACACATTTTAGATGGCAGTGTCTCCAGACCCTTCCTCTGCAGGTAGCAAAGGGACAGGGCGAAACTATTCTTAACTGCTAATGGCTTTATTGTACTGATAGTGTATAACTTACTATTGTGTTATATGATAATTGAAACAAGTAGATACTGTTAGTAGAAATAGCTCTATCACCATCAGTCGGCACTACTCCTCCATACATAATTCCTTTATTATGACTGATCCTTTCAACTATAAAGGCACATGTTGGTGGAAAACACTGTCCAATGACAGATGGAAGAATCCATTTTCCTAAAATAACTGAATGTTATTATTATGCAATACATATATGGTAAACAGAAACAATACTATTATACTATCAATATCTACTCTTGAAAGTTGATACTACCGTATAGCAGGCATATTTCATCTGGAAAAATATTCATTCTAAGCAGGGTTAGAGATTTTCGTTAGCTTTATTTTCATTCTGAGCAGCCATTTTTGGACACGTGGCATTGAGGAAACACTTTTTCGTTTGGAAGGTATTCATTTCACAAGGAATGAAAATGAAATTTAAATCTGATAGAATATACCTACTATATGGCATTGACTACAATTTAATTCCTGTCTCAAAACATTATAAATTTTTCAAATACAAAATGAGTCACTTACGACTGGAAAGGTTGTAGATATTCTGTTCATTAGTGCTAAGACGATCATCAAGACCAGGTATATTCTTGTATCTAAACTGATAGTGACGCTGTGTAGTAGTTAATTTAGGAGCCAGTCCACCGATAACCAGTAATTGTTGAGGTTTACCTTCACTTTCCATTGCTATCATGCCACCAAAGCCTCTCTTAGTTACAGAATAGTTGCTAGTTGGTTGCAATTCTTTCCAATGAAGAGTTAAAGTGTCTAAATAGTTCAAACTGTTATGGTAGCAACTTCCATGGCCACAATAACCACCAAAATAATAAATATTATTATTAATGGTGGTACAGGAGACTCCTCTGATTCCCAATGGAGGAGTACCTCTAGTAGGTTGAGAGGACCAAACACCAGACAATAAGTTAAACGCATCAATAGCAGAAGTACACTTTCTCTTGGTAGGAGAATCGTGCGACGCATCTAATCCTTTCTGGTACCCTCCCCAGCAGTACAGGACATCTCCTACTACTGCAGTCGTGTGTTGCTCTCTCCATCCAAATTGAACTGCTATATTTCTGTCCATCTTGGGGTGGAGTTTGGCCCCGCGAGATAGTTGCATTATCATTAGAAAAAAGAAATTCCCTGCAAATTTTTCTGGCGTATCCAAGTCAAATTTTAAAGAAAGTTTCTACAGTTTTGCAAGAATTTGCAAAAAGTTTAACATTTTAAAATACAACCCTTAAATTTCTACAAATGATATCCAAATTTCAGGATGTATCTATCTATTAGATAACTCTGATTCTAGCATAGATATTAGAATAGAGTACATATTTATCTTGAGCAGTGAGCACCAACAATTCAGTGAGCTACACCCTGGGTGAGGCTTATATACATTATGCATCTGATTGGCCATAATTTGGCCAATCAACAACTGAATTTTAAACAAAAATATAATAACTAGATTTTTAAGGAATATAAACAAAAAGTTTATGCTTCACATTCAATATTAAAATCAAATCCCAGTTCATTTCTAATAGCTTCAATCCAGTCCTCACCTAAAGCTATTGCTGCATCAGCATAACTGCCTCTTACAGCAATGAATGAGCTTAAGAACTTTTGACAGTGCTCCTCCACTTGAGGCAACTTCCTCTTAAAGCTAAGACTAGCCTTGAACTCTGTAATAAAACTTTCCATTGAGCAAGTTCTTTTAACTTGATCAGTAATGAGACCAACTGAAAATAACTGACTGGCAAGATCTGAGAGAGATGATGTAAGAGAATTGAGTGCAGCATCACGTGACACAAGAACATCATTAATGATTCTCTTAACTCTCTCAACATGAACAGTTGCTGGTGCACCTAGCAGAGGTCAAAGGTCAATATAACCCACCAATACACTGACACACAAACAATGCATGTACACAGTACACCCACACACACACACACACACTTACTAGCTCCTCCATTTGATAATGCAGTAGCTTCAGTAATTGGATTAGGAGAGGAGGAAGAGGTAGTAGGATCTGATTAATATTAAATAAACAATTTTAAATCATTTGTATTAATTACCTGTTGAAGAAGGAGAATTTCTCTGTAGTGATCTATGAATGTATAGTGAAACAGGATCAGCCACACCTTCCAGAGGTATGGAGTAATGTAGTGTAGGGACAGCATTAGGTGAAGCAAGAACGGATATAAAGCAAGATGGAGGAAGAGGATAATTAGTTTCACCAAATCTGTTAACATCACAACAATGTAACTATTAACAGATAAAATAATTTACAGTATTTACCATAATACTGTTATACTTACTCTGCATGGTTTAATGTGAGGGTCAATAGTCCAACCAGTAATATCCTTCTCTTGTGGAGTATCAAACTTTAGCTCAATACATCCATCAATATCTTCAAAACGAAAATAAACGTGTTGTCCTCTCTCAGCTCCAGGAAAATCACTTTTAATAAACTGTATATAAATTCACAAAACATTAATTGATCATTGACATACAAGGGA